CTCTCGACGATTCCAGGTCAAGCCTCACTCTTCTCCTTGGTTTTCCTCACATTGCGCTGCAGAAATTTCTAATCGAAACCGTTACTTCCATATCTATCAGCAAAACAATTCTCCAGAAAACAGAAATCTGTTCACTATCGCCAGAAACCATTGTAAAAAGGTTTTGTCTGACGCCAAAGCTCGCTATTCCCAGGTCATTAAATCTCGTATCTCATCACAAAAATTAGGCTCTCGAGACTTCTGGAGAATCTTTAACAGTATCAATAATAAGGGCAAATCTGTTATTCCTTCTCTCTTGTATGGTTCAGACTTTGTCACCTCACCTAAAGACAAAGCTGAATTGTTTGCTAAGAACTTTTCATCAATATCATCTCTTGATTCCACTAGTTGCATTTTACCTGACATAGCCGTCAAACAGGTTGATTCCTTGCTTGACATTCGCATCACTTCAGCTTCTGTATCTAAAGTAATTTCCTGCTTAGACTCTTCAACAGCTTGTGGTCCTGACAACATTCCTGTTGTAGTCTTGCAGAGGTGTTCTCCGGAGCTTTCATCCATACTTTCAAAACTATTTAACAAGTGCTTATCAGAGTCTTGTTTTCCATTATGCTGGAAAGCAGCATCTGTTATCCCTATTTTCAAAAATTCCGGAGAGCGATCTGATTCATCTAACTACCGTCCCATTAGTCTTCTTCCTGTCATAAGCAAGGTTTTTAAATCTTTAATCAACAAACACTTAATCTCTCATCTTGAATCAAATAACTTACTTTCTGATCATCAATATGGATTTCGGTCTTCTCGTTCTACAGCTGATGTGCTAACAGTAATAACCGATAGGTTTTACCGTGCATTAGATAGAGGTGGAGAGGTTAAGGCTATCGCACTTGACATTTCTAAAGCTTTTGATAAAGTTTGGCATGCTGGTCTTCTCCATAAGCTTTCTTCTTATGGTGTAGCTGGTAACATCTTTAAGATTATTGAGTCCTTTCTTTCCAATCGTAGTATAAAAGTTGTCCTCGATGGACAACACTCTTCTTCACATCCTGTAACTTCAGGGGTTCCTCAAGGTTCAATCCTTGGCCCTATACTCTTTTTAATTTACATTAATGATCTTCCAGATATTCTCACATCTAAGGTGGCATTATTCGCCGACGACACTACCATTTACTCTTGTCATGATAAGAAGCCTACACTCTCTGATTGCTTGGAGGGGGTATCTGAGCTTGAAAAGGATCTCACTTCTGCTACAGCATGGGGCTCACAGTGGCTGGTGAACTTTAATTCAGATAAAACTCAATTTTATTCGGACAATCGTTATCGTAATAATTTAGATCTTCCTATATTTATGAATGGTAATGTACTAGATGAGTCATCTACCATTCATCTTCTAGGATTAACTCTTACTTCTGATCTTTCTTTTAAACCGTATATCAAATCCATTGCAAAATTAGCATCTGCTAAGGTTGCATCTCTTTATCGAGCTCCACACTTTCTTACTCCAGATTCTATTCTCTATCTCTATAAATCTCAAATCCGTCCCTGTATGGAATACTGTTGCCACATCTGGGGCGGATCTTCTAATGATGCTCTTTCTCTTTTAGACAAGGTGCAAAAATGAATTGTAAACATAGTTGGACCTGTTCTGGCAGCCAATCTCCAACCTTTGTCAAATCGTCGTAATGTTGCTTCTCTTTCTCTTTTCTACAAATACTATAATGGGCACTGCTCTAAAGAGCTAGCGTCCCTTGTGCCATCTACTAAAATTCATTCTCGTATTACTCGCCATTCAATTAAGTCTCATCCTTTTTCTGTGACTGTTCCTAAGTGCTTCAAAAACTCTTATTCTTCTAGTTTTTTTCCTCGAACATCAGTTCTTTGGAATTCGCTTCCTTCATCTTGCTTTCCTGATTCATATAATTTGCAATCTTTTAAGTCATCAGTCAATCGTTATCTTGCTCTACAGATTTAGTCTTTTCTCTTCCAGTAACTTCCAACTCTTATAGTGGTTGCTTGCAGCCTTGTTGGAAGTGAAGATGTTAAAAAAAAAAAAAAAAAAAAAAAATTATTAAAGTATATATTTTAAAATAAATTTTTCTAAACTATTCCATGGTGTACTGTGTCAAAAGCATAAATCATTAAACTATGGTATAACATTCACAAATGCATTTGATATAGTTATATAATATACTTTATTTTTATTGATATATGCTTTATAATGTTAGCTTTATTAGTTAGGCGATTGAGTAAGATAAATGTAATTCTTTTGTTTTCTTTGGTTATTGGAAAACAGAAAAAGTTTTTTGAACATTAAAAAACAGTTTTTACTTAAATAGTTTGTAAAAAAAACTTAAAAATAAAAAATAAAAAAAATGATTATAATTAGAAAGCTGCACAAGTGAAAAACTTAAAACTACCTAAAAACTTTCTTACCTGCTTAATATCTTTTAAATAGTTTTTACTTAATAAAAAAAAGTTCTGAATCAAACGCTGTTGCATTAATTTAATTAAATCAATTAAAATAATCAAACAAATTAAAAAATATGTCAAATTATTTGTAGAACTAAGAAATATAGTTCCATTAAAGAGGCAGTTATTACACAAAAAAGTATCATTATTTTAGATTTTTCTTAGTTGGTTATGGAACTGTATTTTACAAATAATGAAAAGAAAAAAAAGAAAAGCATAGAAATTTTAGCTTAATCGACAAAAATCTCAAAGTTTTAAAATAGGTAATAAATTTCATTAAATTATAAATTAGAGAATCACACAAACATTTAAAACATTCTTAAAAAAAAAGGCTAAAAAAATTCTGAAAAATAGACAGATGAAATATGTTTTTAAAAAAGTGCAGAGGGAATAATCTTAATAGAAAAAAATTTGTAACAAATTTTTATTCTAATGGCAAACATACATAATGCCTCTATAACAACAACAACAACAACAACAGCAAAAACAACAACAACAACAACAACAACAACAACAACAACAACAACAACAACAACAACAACAACAACAACAACAACAACAACAACAACAAGTTATTTATTTTCCATTTTAAAATCATTTTTACAATAATAAGGTAAATAATAATAACAATAATAAAATAATAAGCAATAGTAATAATTTATAACAATAATAATAATAATAACAAAAAAAAAATATATAAATAATAATAATTACTATAATAATAAGTAAAATGATATGTTATTTCTTATTATAATAAATTAATGATTAGTATGGATGGTGCCACTCATACAGAAGTCTGATCAAAGGAGTGACACCATTTTCCAAAATAATATGACTAATAATAAACATATTGACATAAAACATAGACACACATTAAGTAAACTTTTTAAAAATCATATAAATAGGTAATAACAAAAGAAAAAAGAAAAACAAACAAAAAATAAGGATAATTATTATAGTGATAGAAAAAAATTATAACAAAATATTTTTCAGAATTTTTTTAAATTGATTTTGATTAAGATTAAGAAAAGATGACAAAGGAGTTTGGAGTTGGAGTTTATTGAACTCATTCACAATGCACACAAGACTCTTGTTCCATTCACAGATGCACTGATACACAGTGAGTTTTATATGATGGTACAATAAGTTTTCCATTATTTATATTTCGCGCAGAATTTGTATGAATTAGTCTACTTTCTATAAAAAAATTTGCGATAGAAGAAGGTAAATTTTTATTTAGTGAGTTAAAAACAAAAAGAAGATTAGCAAACTTTACTATCAAATGAAAGGTTGGAATTTTAAGTTTTTTGAAAGAATCTGATGTATCTGAATTGAAAGGTTGAAAGTTTATTATTCAAATGGATTGGCGTTGAGATGACATTAGTTTGTTGATATGATAGTTGCCAGTTTGACCCCAAACTTGACAGCAATAACTAAGATGAGATTAAAATAATGCATAGTAAATATTTAAAATAGTAACTTTATTAACATAATGTCGAATTACTGAAAGCATACCATTTGCACGATTAAGTTTCTTGTGCAGCTCATTGATATGGAAGGTCCACGAAAGATTGCAATCAATTAACACACCAAGATATTTAATAACTCTCGAGGGGTATAGTCACTTATTATTTATTTTGATTTTAATTTCAATGTTGTCACAGTTTTTTCTGTTGTTGTTACAGTTTTTTCTAGGAGATGAAAAAAAATTAGTTCAGTCTTTTCAGTATTAAGACATATTAGGTTAGCATTTAACCAATGAACTATACCTTCAAGATCTGAATTTATATTTTTACATAGAGAATAGTATGATTTATTGACATGCAAGAGATTGGTATCATCTGCAAATAGATGAACCAACAAGAAGTGAACAGAGTTACTTAGATCATTAACGTAAATTAAAAACAAAAGAGGATCATGAACGGAACCTTGAGGAACACCACATGTAACACGTTTGTTACTAGAAGTATAACCATTAATACTTACATATTGTTAACGGTCCAAAAGATAAGATCGAAAGCAATCACTTCCAACTCCATGAATTCCATAATGTTCTAACTTAGAAATCAAAATGCTATGATCAACGGTATCGAAAGCTTTTTCTAAATCGATAAAAACACCACAAGCAAAATGACCAGTATCAAGAGCTTTTCTAATTCTTTTCAGTTATATTTATTAGTGCGTGGCAGGTAGAATGGTTTGATTGAAAACCAAATTGAAACTCATTTAAACTCATAAAAGTTAAAAGAGTTTAGAAAAGAGTACATTCTAGAATACATTAATTTTTCAAGAGGCTTACCAATGTTAGATAAAAGAGAAATAGGTCTATAGTTAGTACATAAAAAAATAGAGCCATTTTTGAAAAGTGGAATAATACAAGATAATTTTAAAATATTAGAAGAAATCCCATTCATAAATGAGATATTAAATAGTGTAAAGAGAATATTTGAAAATTCGTAGTAAAAATCAATTAGAATGTTTGCAGGAATACTGTTTTACATTTTAAGTATTCATACTACGTACTATCTACATAATTACATTACAAAGTGAACTCATGGTTTATAGGTTATTCCATATGAAAATAATTTACTTTTTAAAGTGAAAATAAATTTGCTTACTGACTCAGATTTAGTTCAAATTTTTTCAATCAACAGATTTTATATATAAATAAAAATCAACACTACAAATTTTAGCTTACTTGATCTATACATCAATAAGCAACAATTGAAAATATATGACCAAACTCTGGAATAATTAAGTATTAAGGGCTAACAGTAAACTTTTCTGATTTTGACATAACTTGTCCACAAGAGAAAACTTTACTTCTAAAAAATATTTTTTCCCACACCTTAAATCATTGTGATATCAATGAAAATATTTTATTAACCATCCATTCGGCTAAAATTTATTTAGCCTTGTTAAAGCATTAATTTAAGTCATATAACAGTACTTTCAAATATATTATTTATCAATTGATTTTCATATTATTATTATTATCAAGGAATATTTATGCTATATTATCTCATATTCTTCAGCTTTGTTTTAATTTTCACAACTTTGGTGTTTTAAAACGATCTTATATCCTTCATGTTTAAATTTTTATATTTTAGCAGGTAACATTTTCAATGATTTTTTTTGTGTAATGTTTTTTCCACTATCATATATTATTTAATTTTTGTTACATTTACAATCTTACATTTTAGATTAACAAAATTCAAATGAAGTATCTATGACAATGTTAGAGTTTATTGAAAACTTTATTAGACTTATTGTGTATAATTTATAAAACTTATTGACTTTATAAGACTTATTGTGTTTTATTTATTTTAAAAGGGTTTTTAATAGGGTATATTGCAATTTTATTGTCTTTGGTTTATTTATGCTGGATGCACATATTTGGTTTTAATTGTCTTAGAGGGAAATTTATTATTATTTTTGTTTACATACTTGAGTTATTTTAGTTTTGCTTTGGTGTTTTCATTAGAATTTTAATTTACTGTGAGTTCATGTTTTCTACCAGTGGAGTGGTAAATGATTTATTTATTTATTTTTTTCATTCTTAGGCTTAAAATATTTGTATACATACTTTTTATTTTGTATTAAATTTTTTGCTTTATAAGTTTTTGTTTGGTGATATTTGTTGTATATCTGTTTATTTTTGTTTAAAAAAAAAAAAAAAATTTAATTGAAAGTACTGTTTGAGAGCATTGTCTGTCTTATTGTTGCCATCGTATTTGTATATTTTTGAATATTCATCTTATAATCTTTATTTTTGTCTTGACAACCAACAAAATATGCTTTGTTTGAAAAATAAATCCCTTTTATTCTAATGTACCTCCGTTTTCCCTTAAGTGTTGATTGATTGTTTGTGACCATACAGCAAATTTATGTGCATAAATATTTTAAATTTTAGTTCTTTTGTGTAACTACTGGTATGCTTAAATTTTGGTTCTTTTACTTATGTTACCATAAGTTTTTGTACTTATGTTACCATGAGTACAAAACAACCTGTGATAAAAATTAAAACTACGCATTAAAAAATAAATAAAAACCTACAGCTTGTAAAAAAAATTTGTTTATAAATTATAGACTTCTTTTTCAACTATAGCTGATTGTAGTGTAACCAGGAACATGGTGGAAATCGAACTCAGAACCTCTCACTTACAAATCACTAAACCATTACATCATTAATTAAGAAGATTTCAAACTAAAAGTAAAAAGAAAAAATAGTACAAGTATATTTATAAAGTGGACTACTATATAAATATACTGGTATTATTTTACTATTACACTACTGTAGTGCATAAAAAAAAGCTGCAGTAGTGCAGTAAATTAATTACATTTTTATAGCACAACTTTAGTGTAATATATATATATATATACATATATATATTTATATATATATATATATATTTATATATGTATATATATATATATATATATATATATATATATATATATATATATATATATATATATATATATATATATATATATATATATATTAAAATCTTGTTTTTATAAATATAGTATGAATTGCTAAATCTGCAGAATATTATGTTTCTGGATTTTAGTATTTTAGCATGAAAAATAGGAAAAAAAAAAGCCTGAGATTTGGAAACTTAAAAAAAAAAAATTTGAGAGCTGAAAGCAGTAAAAAACCAACATAAAAAAATGGACGCTGAAAAAAACAACAAAAGCCTGAAAGCTAAGAACTGAAAAAAGCCTGAGTGCTGGAAGCTAAAAAAAAAAAAAAAAACCTAAAAGGTAAGAGTTGGAAAAAATAGCCGGCAAGCTGGTAGCTGAAATAAAAAAAACAAGCCATGGAGCTAATGGCTAGAAAAAAAGGCCTGAAAGTTTTAAACTGAAAAACAAACAAAAAAAAACAAACAAAAAAACTTAAGATTGGAAACTGGAAAAAACAAAAAAATAACCTGAACACTAGAGGCTTAAAAAAAAAAACGAGACCTAAAATCACGAATAATAATATAAGCCATAAAACTGGAAGCTAAAAAAAAGAATAAAAGTTGGAAGCTGGAAAAAAAAAGCTTTAAAAATGGAAGCTTAAAAGAAAAGCCTGAAATTTTAAAGAGGGTTAAAAAACAACTGAACCATGAAAGCCTTCTAGAGTCTAAAAGCTGAAGGCTTGAAAATGAAAAAAATTTGAAAGCAAGAAGCTGGAAAAAAAAAATATATAGCCTAAAAAATAGAAGTTTGAAAAAAAATAGAAATAAAAGCCATAAAACTGAAGGCTGAAAAAAAAAAGTTTTAAATTTTAAAGGTAAAAAAATAAAATAAAAAATCCTTAAAAATAGCTTTTTTTAATTTTTTTTAACTGGACACTAATAAAAAAATAAAGCCTGAAAGCTAAAAGCTAAAAAAAAAAAAGAAAACAAAAATCCTAAAAAATCGAAATTTGAAAAAATAAAAAAAATAAAAGCTACAAAACTGAAGGCTGAAAAAAAAAAAGGTTTAAATTTGGAAGGTGGAAAAATAAAATAAAAAAGACTTTAAAATGAAAGTTGGAAAAAACAAAATAAAGCCTAAAAAATAGAGGCTCGAAAAATAAAAATTACTTGAGACATGATACAGTCTTCTCCGTTTTGCCAGCACTTTTGCGCTGAAGCCTTTTTACGCTCGCTCACACGCTCGCAAAAACTTTGGCGAACGCATAAAAAAGCACTTGTTAAAAAACTTTTTTGTTCATTTGTTTAATTTTTATGAAATAAGACCTTTCTTTTACAAGATTTTTATAAAATTATTTTATCTGGTATTTATTTAAAACACTTTTTCTCTATTTTATTATAATTTAAATAGCAGAAAAAAAAATTGCGTAGGCTAAGTTAAAATTGACCATTCTGCCAATGCTTTTTTGTGCGCTGGCATTAATTTTTAAAAATTGAACTTCAAACGGTGGACTGATGAAAGGGAAAAAGGGAAAAAAATAGAAGCTGGAATTAAAAGTCCTAAAAGGTGCATGCTGGGAAAAAAAATCCTTAAAGCTGGAGGCTAGAATAAATAAACAATCCGGAGAGCTGGAAGCTTGAAAAAAAAACACATTCTTGAAAGCTAAAAGCTAGAATAAAACAGGGGAAAAAAAATCCTAAACCTGCTGGGAAAAAAAAAAAAAAAGCCAGAGAGCTGAAGACTAGAAAAAAAAACAACCCTGAAAAATGAAGCTGGAAAAAAAAATCTTGAAAGGTAGATAAAAAAAACCCTGAAAGCTGAAAGCTTTCAGGTATTTTTTTCTTTCTTTTCAAGCTTCAAGCTTTCTTTTTCAGGACTTTTAATTCCGGTTTTGATTTTTTTACCTTTTTCTTACCTTTCATAAGTCCACTGTTTGAAGTTCAACATTTAAAAATTAATGTCAGCGCACAAAAAATAAGAAAAAATGCCTTTAAGTTGGAAGATGGAAAAAAAAACCATAAAAATAGTTAAAATAGCTTAAAAGCAGAAAATAGGATTAAAAAAAAAGCTCGTAAGCTGGAAGCTAAAAAAAAAAAAAAAAAAAAAAAATTAATTAAATCGGGAAAAGAATAGCCTGAAAGTTGGAGCTATTTTGATGAGCTAAATGATGAATTTAATTACAAAAATATATCCAGGAAAAAAACTTTGTTTCATTGTGCATAAATAACTGAAAAAGGTTCTGCATATAAAGGTTATATGCGAAGACAAATAAAAGATCACTACATCTTTAGCAGTATATTAAATTTGCAGCAAAACCACCTAATTTAAGTTCATTGAGAGTGTTTGCTTGAGTTATATAATTTTTACCCTGAAGTTAAATTTGTATATGTATACATTCTCTTCTTTTAATTGATTTTAGTCCTTTTTATTTTCACTTTCATGTAATAACTTAAGAATCTTTTTGTTATACTTTTAAATTACAAAAGCACTTGAAAAAAACTTAAAGTCTTCTTTTATATGGTAATTGTCTAAAGATATCTTTTTTTTGGTATTGATCTACACTTATATTTTTAATTTATTTTATATGAAGTATTTTTTTTTTAATAATTTGCAAACTGTAAAGCTTCTTTTTTGTTTTGACAAAGACAAAATAATTATTTATAAATAATAATTTTTCAATGTAAAAAGTAATAATCTAACTTTTCAAGAATTTTGCTAAAAAAAACGATAAAGTTTGCAAATGAAAAGGGTTTACAGCCTTTCTTTTGATAAAGATGATCAAATAAAGTATATATTATAAGACAAATACAAGTAAAAAACAATTAAAATATAAAAAACAATTTTATACTGACCTCTGATTAAAAATTTATGCTTGAAATTTTCTCACTAGTAATATTGTACAGCTATTTGAAATTCTCAAAGAAAAACATGAGCATTACCATGGTTACTAAATGCAGTCTAGTCATTAAACTCTCTAGCCTCTAGAATATAAACTACTTGTTTTAAAACTAACAATGATCATTAAAAATATATACATGCAATGAAAATAACAGACAGCAATAAAAATCAAGAAAATAAAGAAAAAATATCAGATAGTTATGAAAACCAAACACTAAAATATTATTTCTGGCCTCATAAAATTTATTGAGAATATAATGATGATGATGATGGCGATGATGATGATGATGATGATGATGATGATGATGATGATGATGATGAAGATGATGATGATGATGATGATGATGATGATGATGATGATGATGATGATGATGATGATGATGATGATGATGACAAAATTGATTTATTATATTGATGATATAATGTGAGAAATATCTAATTTGATGATGAATTCATACAAGAGTTGAATTTAGTGATTGTTATAGATCATTCTGTTTTCAAAGTTTCAAAATAAAATTTTGAGATTTTGAAAAAAGAATAATAAATTACTCTCTGTTTTATATACATTTTTTTGATAATGTTTACATTATACTGTTTGACTTCATTATTTGGACCACACATATTATCTGGATCAAACTGTTTTCAAAGTTTTAAAAGAAAAATTTGGAATCTTGAAATACTGTTTGACTTCATTTTTTATTTTTGTCCGATGAAATCACTACTAATGTTATTATTCAACTTTGTTAATCATACTGCAGTTTTAAAGTTGTTCTTCTCAACACTTTTCTTTATTATCAGAAACTTCTAGAATTTCACAGAATCCTGAGTTGCTTCTCATATATCGATCTATATATCCATTGCAAAGGTAAAAATATACCTAGTGAATTTGTTCTATTATGTTTTTAAAATTCCAACCTTGGAAATGTCAAGGTTGAAAGTGAATATTTTAAATATATTACTTTGGTAATTAAAACTTAAGCATTTTTCAGTTATGTGTTGCAAAACAAATGAGATGATGTAATGATTGCATATTATGATGCAAAACAAATGAGACGATGTAATGATTTCATGATGTATTGCAAAACAAATGAGATGATGTAATGATTGCATGTGATAATTATTATTACAAGCCATGCTCATCATAGACATTATCAACAGTAACAAGTTTATGTTAACTGTTTTATTAACTAGACACCTAAAATAAAAACTTCGATAATTAAATTTTGATATTCCAAGAATTTATTGGACCTTTTGGATCATGTTCTGCAATTTTAACCTAAATTGTTCTCTGAACCTCCTTTAAAATCTCCTTAAAAAACTAAACTGTGTTCTACTAGATAGTGACTGCAGTGAGCATGAGATACTAACATGTTTACCATAGTATTCCAACATGTTAAAGCAAATAATTCCATTACTCTATGCACGAGATTGTATCAAACTAAAAGATAGAAATCTTGAAAAAACACTCTGTGGTTCTTACAATGAAACCAATTTGTTTATAGTTATGTTTTATTTACTAAAACAAAATGTTGTTAATTGTCTTTATCTTCATTTAGAAAAAGTTTACGAAAGAGTGCTATATCAATGACGAATAAGTTTATTTGAAAAATGTTATATCAATGACAAACCAGTTTATTTGAAAAATGTTATATCAATGACAAATGAGTTTATTTGAAAAAGAATCAAAGTCATGTGACCAGTTAGCCAAATAATAAACATGTTAGACTATTTACAAAAGGATCCAATAAACAAAATTGTAAAAATAAATATATTTACTCATAAAACTCTATAGATCTTTCCAAAGCTTGCTGAACATCTATGGGATAATCTCCAGGATCGCAATTTCTGACTCTTCTTATATGTTTGCTTTTGTTTAGTAAATGTTTCTAAGAATATTTTAATTTAGTATACAACATAGCATCAACAATATTTCCAAATGTATTATATGTAATAAAGATACATACATGTATATTCTTTATTACAGAAAATATCTGATGAAACAAAGCATAAAAATTTAATAAAACAAGAAATAAAATACTTAATGGAAACAAGACACAAAATTTAGTCAACAATAAAAAAAATTAATAACAATATGTTGTAATTATGTAATAAAAATAAATTTTATAATTTTCAACTTTTGATTATCACTGTTGCAAAAATTCAGTGTTCACTTTTTACAATAGTAATTTATTTTTAAGAAAAAACATTTCTCAAACAAAAATGTTTTCATTACCTTTCAGTAGAATATAATCATGACACATGGTTTTTTTGTATCACGTGGAAGTATTTTTCTGATGGCTGTGCAATGTAACTTTAAAACTTTCAAAACTTATCTTTCAATTTATCTTATCGCAGCATAGACTTTGATTTAAATGCTGAATGAGTATTTTTTGCTACCAGCTACAACAAATCTTTCTGTGATGGTATTTGTGCGACTGTTAAAATAGTAGTTTGTTAAAAAAGTTCAAAACAAGTATCTAATGGGCAGATTTTGGGTGTTAAATATAACATAAACAGATTTTAATGTTGATCTATTTTTTGTGTAAATTCAAAATAACAGGCATTTGTTTTAAGTTACTTTTAATGGAATTGACAAGAACAGTTCCAAAACAACAACGATCATCATTTTATTCCTATTAGTTCAAATACAATAAGTTATAGACAAAAAATGTGAACACATTAAATTATTCCAAAAAACAAAAATAAGGAAGAGATTTCATTTAACATTAAAAAATTAGACTATACTGCATGGTTTTATAATGAATTCGGTAGATAGAGATTGTAGAAGATATTAAATTAAGTTAATTAAATAATTAACTTGATATTAAAGATTGCAAAATTTATAACAATTTAAATAAAAAAATCTTCAATAATTATAAATAGTTTGCAAATAGGTGCAAAGTTTTAATCAAATACATATGAAATTTTGAAGGAATTTTAAAATAATAGAGTGGATTGTTAATTATGGTCTTAATAATTATTTTAGATAGAGATATATGTCAAAAAAACAACAATATAATTATCACATTAAATAATATTTTTACGAATATCTATTTTATTTGAAAGAAAATAGAATGCTCATCAATACACGTTTTTTATATTTAAGAAGAGTTTTATACAAGATAGTAATCTTTAATATTAAGTTGATATTAAAGATTGCTAATAAACTAATCTGAAATGTAAAAGTGATAAAACTTTTGTGTGTGGATGATTTCATATGGAACAGGGTGTCTGCCAATATTCAAAGGTGGATTTCCATGATTTTATCCTGATCCGCTTGTTTTTTTAGATTTAATTTAGAGACATTCTATGGAATGACCCATCATTATGATGGGTCATTTAACAGAATGTCTGCTAGATCAGAGAAATTGGGTTATGTTTACAAAAATCAGTAAGAAATCAAAGATAATAGCTCTTGGTCAAACTTACGTTATTAGGTAAAGTTGTTTATTGTACACGCAACATTAAACTTCATTTGACAGATATGATGATCATTAAAACAGACAGATCATTTAAACAGACAGATCTTTTAAAAAGATAGAATGATGATCATTTAAAAAAAAAAAATTTATATACAGTTGTCATATGTTTGCTAATAAAATAGGTTTAACGTACACTTTGATGCATTAACAAGGAATTTTACAAAAGTATCAGACTTTTGTAAAATTATTGTTTTGTTTTTGTTTTGTTTTTGCAGACTTAGTCAGCAAATACAAAACAAAAAGGTACTAAAATTAGAAATAGGTGAGCATCAATAATGAAAATATAAGTTAATCAATTTAAACCCAAGAATTTTTATAAGTATATTATTACCTAATGATTTTTATTTACATGATTACAAACAATTCAATATTGAATTTTTGATCTTTGGATAAAGATTTTGTTGTTTACTTTAAAAAAGCCGCATGTTGGATTTATTTATTTATTCTTTTTATCACCCAAGTTACGGTAGTCTCTCTTTTCAAACCCCTATTACGACATTGAACCTCTTTGACGTTTAAAAACTGGGATATTTAGAGGATAGGCAAATTGGGATATATAGAGATAAGCGCATCGCAGCGTATATACATCTACTAATTTATATAGCTATAGGCACATTGAGTGGGCACAAATTGACTTATTTACCCCCCCCTGTTTTTATGATTGATTATTATAGAACACGTGATACTGATTCTAAGTCAAATAAAAACATAGGTCTGAAAACTTGAGGGAAGTACTCTAATTTAATGTTAAAGTATAAAAATCTACATTAAAAACGCTTATATTCTACCATCTCTTTAAAAACATTTTAGCACTGTTTTCAAAATTTAAGAAATTAATTTTTTAACTACGCGACACGGGTTTTATTCTCGTTTTCTATTTTTCTAAAATTAATTACAAATGTACATGCATCGACTGACAAGTAGGAATCGGCGCAACTAAAAGTACATACATTAACTGACAAATAGGGATCGGCAAAAATAAATGTACATACATCTACTGACAAAATGGCGAAATTAAATGTATATGGGAATTAAATGTACATGATTTGGGTCAGGGTTTGGTTGGGGCAGGAAATCAATAATAAATACGTTTTAAACATTGCGTTCTCTACTACTGCAGGCCTATTCATCGCGCAACCGGATTTTTTAGTAGAGGCCTACTTTTTTACGGCGAAAAAGATAATAACTTCGTAATTTTAAAACTAAAAAGTAATTTTAATTCTCGGTATAGCCTAATTTTTTTTTTTTGATGAAAAAAAAAAATATTAGGCTATACCGAGATAATAATAAACAATTTCAATAAAAGGCAAAGAAATTTTATCAAATTTCAAATTTTAAACATTTAAATAATTATATTATTTCAAAGCAATTGCCAAAAACATGGGTTGAACACTTCAGATAATGAACCTTCCAATACCACTGCTCTGGATAATAACCTCAATATTTCTTATTAAATTGATAATAAAATTAGTGAATTTGAAGCTTTTTCTGATAACGATTCAGATAAAAGTGATAAGAATATTTAAATAGATGAACTAGAGGATGATTTAGCATTTTGATCTTCTCAGCATAATATCACACAAAATTTCACTGATTTAATTTGCTGATCTATGACCAGAGCTGCTTAAATGTTAACGCATCCTAAAATTTTATTCAAATTTGTTTTTTTTATGTATTTAAATAAAATTCATTATATATTGTATTTTTTATGCTATATTTTATATGATCTCATCATCATTGTCATTATCCTCCACCTTTATTTTCCTTTACTCTATATATTTATTCAACCTTTATTTTAATTTGGCTTCGAGTAAAACAAATACTTTACTAAGTTTTAATTATTATTTGTTGACTAAAGTATACACTTATTAACTCCGTTAATGTTTAGCCTTAAATTATTTTTACTGAACATCGTAATTTCTTAAGGTATTATTTTGTATTTCATGTATACTTTTTAATGTATACTTTAAGGTGTTTATAATATACCGTAAAAATTTCTATAAACTATATTTTAACATTAGACTTATGTGTTAAGAGTACAGAAGTAACCTGATGAAAATTATGATAGTGACTCACAAGATTTTATTGAACATCAAGAATTAAAAAATTCTTGTCTGCAGAAACCTGTCTGTGTATTAAACAAAAGTAAAACCAATATCATAATTAAAAAAAAACACATAATTTTCATCAGGTTACTTCTGTACTCTTGTGAATAATAATTAAAAAAAAAAATACAAGATTGGAAAAAGTGATCGTAATTACCTCTGTGATTAAGGTATTTTAACTACTAAATAAAAGTAAAAACACTATCATAATTTTCATCAGGTTACTTCTGTACTCTTAACACATAAGTCTAATGCTAAAATATAGTTTATAGAAATTTTTATGGTATATTTTAAACACCTTAAAGTATACATGAAATACAAAATAATACCTTAAGATATTACGATGTTCAGTAAAAATAATTTAAGGCAAAACATTATATTAAATATGTGGTAGTGGGGTAGTGGTAAGAGCTCTCGCTTTGTAAGCGAGAGGTTTGGAGATTGACTCGAACAATGTCCCTGGAAGTACCGCGCTCAACTTAAGTTCTCCGCGCAGCGGCCTTGCTTGTCAATGTTCCTGTTTCGGAGTTAAAAAGTTGAGAGAGGGTTGTACAACAATTTACAACAAAAAAAAAAACAAAAAAAAAAAACAAAAAAAACAAAGAAAATGAGTAGCCTCCTCGACTGTAGTGGCCCCCTCGGGCCTTGGGAAGGTGAATAATTAAAAAAAAAAAAATTGTTGTTAAAAATTGTTACCAATTGTTTAAAACTACATAAAGCAGCAAAAAAGAGTTTTTACTATTATTTTATTTCTTTTGAAATATATAGTATAAAGAAATATTTTAACTCATATTATGATTTAAACTTGATTCGATTTTTGAATCAAAACCTGCTCGATTTGAGATACAAAAAAAATTCGTGTTTTTCTAAAGGAATTGTTTTTATAAATAAATTAAAAATTAAAAAAAAATTAAAAAGGTTTAGAAGGGGGTAAAAATACCTAACAAACTAACTATAAATATCTATTTAATATTAAGAAAAGACATTGTTTGTAGAGTTCTAAGTTTTTAGTTATAGGCATTAAAAACTTGTGTCAGGGAAGAAACGATAGGTTCCTTCCGTGACACAAGTTTTGATGGCTATAAAAAAAAAGTTATTATTCCACATGCAATATCTTTACCTGAAATGAAATAAGTTTTTAGAGGTAGCATGTTAGGTATTTTTGCCCCCTTCTAAAAGTTTTTATTTTTTTTTTTGAATTTCCAATTTAGTTTATAAAGGTCATTCCTTTTAAAAAGAAAAAACTTTTTAATCCTGCCCATATCTTTATGTGTATATATATATATATATATATATATATATATATATATATATATATATATATATATATATATATATATATATATATATATATATATATATATATATATATATATATATATATATATATATATATATATATATATATATATATATATATATATATATATATATATATATACACATATATATATATATATATATATATATATATATATATATATATATATATATATATATATATATATATATATATATATACATATATATATATATATATATATATATATATATATATATATACATATATATATATATATATATATATATATATATATATATATATATATATATATATATATATATATATATATATATATATATATATATATATATATATATATATGTATTTTTATATATATATATATACAAAGAGAGAGAAACACATATATAGACATATACAGATATATACAACAGCTATATTTAGCTATACTCTTATAATTTTGTTTATAAAAAAACTTGATATATGACTGCGTTTATGCAATACGAAGAAATTTGCTGACAAAAGATACCACATACAGCGAAATTAAAAAGGCAGTTGTGGCTTTTTTTTCTGGAGCTCTAGACAGAAATAGAGGCAGAAAAGAAAAAGCAGAAAAGAAGTCCATCCAAAAAACTTGTTCAACAAAAAATCGTGGCTATACTGCCCAATCATTGCCATTGAAACCTTTATCTGGATTATCATTACCATAATTTGAACGCTTT